AAAAGAAAAACTTAAACAATCTCCCTTCCATCATTCAGCCTCAGCCACCACGCGCCCGAGCCTCAATTCCAATTCCCTCTTTCCATGCGAAACCACCTAGGCTTTCAATATATCACCTCCGAGTCACAGGTATCCCTGCCATCTCTCGACTAGCCTCCACGTAAATCCCGCTCTCCTGGACGTAATCCCTAAACAGCTGCCATCCATTTGATCCAAGCATTATTTCCAGAGCCGGCGCCCTTCGCATTCCACTTTTTAACTACCAATTTGCCAGTGATTTTCGACACTGAACAGGGTGATCAATTGATATTTCCCTCCCGCACTCGCAGTAGAGTTTGGCGTCAGTGTGGTTGAAGCGGCGATGATATGCCGCAAAGTCCCCATGTCCAGTTCGAGCAGCGATTAAGCGGGCGTAGACCGCTCTCGGTAGCGCTAGCTCTGGTGGTTTCTTGCGCCACATCTCGAGTTCAAGGTCGGCGTAATGTTTGGGGCGGTTTGAATGCCACCAGTCTGTCAACATTTGCCTGGCCAGTTATGTAATCATGTATTAGCGTGCTTGTAACATTAGGAGATTCCTGTTAGGATTAGGAACTGTTGAAATCTAGACATACCAGACCGAACGTCACGCAGTGCGGAGTAGACGAAGACTACTAATCTTCGATCGCTACCAGCTCTGGTGAGGTCTCGATTGGTATTGATCTCGGTGGTGGAATGTTAATCCATCACGTAATCAGAACATAATCTTTCTGCCTAAGCGAGGTAGAACTTGGATAGACAAGTAGATGTAGAAAAAAATCCCAACACTTTTAACTTCTAAATATAAGTTCAGTAAAACCAAAAACCTCACTGATCCTAACCTTTTATCTCTGATCCTTAAATCCCCAATACCTCACGATTCGTACAGTATTGACTTGACGGTCAACGTTCACTTCTATCATTCCAGATACCCCCTAGAACTTTAATAGGAACAAACAAATTACATCAGACTTACCGAACTCCACAGGCTTCCTGTGATACTTATTACAGGCGTGCTTTGAGTTCTTAGTCACCGTCAGACACTTCGAAACCCCTACGCTCGACCGCACACCATGGTAATGTGAAAAGCGCATTCATGACAGTAAGTACCTACGGAGGAGGGTTGGCATTGGGCTGCTTGCCTGCCTGCCTGCATGAGGACGGGCACGTAGCATTGATGGTTGCGTGACCGACACCATGTACAGCGTTAGCTCCCTCTGCCTTTTTAAAAAGGAAATCCCAGATTAGAAAGAAAAAGAAAAGTTGTAGGTAAATAGTCTGTCCTACGTAATTAGAAACTCAAATAGGACATAAATGGATAAATAAAATAAATACGGAGAAGGGTCGACTGCTTGTATAAGCGAAAACACCTCGTAATGGTATTTACGAATGAAATCTAGAGTATGTGTGTCTCAAACGTCAAAAGAGTCATCCTATATTTACACAGAGCACCGGTCATGTGTCATAGCTCTATAGCAGAATACACATTGAATGAATTTTTAAAAAAAAAAAAAAAAAAAAAAAGGTCCGCAACATTGGTAGCCCCTGTAGCTAGCTAGACCCTATATTTCATCCCTGCTGTACTGGTGCAGACAGTACAACACCAAGGTATTGGTCCCGTAACACCAACTGCCTTTTTCAATCGTGTACACCCATTGGTATGTGTGTGTGTGTTTTTATTGCGCTACTTGAGTCTATGACTATCTAGCACAACGGGCTCCTATCTGACCCAGGCCACAGCTTGTACAGTGCTCCTATCCTCTTTTGTTACTTGAAAGATCATTGATATATTCCCCTTGATAAATAGCCATTCAGCTCAGTGATTACCCGTGGAATTCGGCCACCTTTTCCACGGAACCTTCTACCCCAAAAAAATAAAACGGTAGCAATGGAAACTGCGTGCGCGGGAAAAAGTCTCAAAAAATCTGCAGTCCCAGCCAGCCGAAGCCTAGACACCAGGGCCACATGAGGTGCGCATATTCATCTGTATCTGCCTTCTCTGTGACGTTCGAGGCCGACTTGATCCAAGCCACTATCTCCGTATCGGGTGCTGGGTACGCTCCGGAAACTCATCGGATGGCATCTCTTCCATGATAATGGTGATAGGGGAATGTGTTGAGAGATGAAGACGATACAGACCGCGCAAGCGATTGGGAATCCTCGTCGAAGTGAGGACTTTGTTACTCAAACTCGGCTCTGCATACTCTACAGTGAGAGCTGGAGGTTCGTAGGGACACCACTGACATGTGTTGAGAATAGTCCCCCTACCCATTGGTTATTGCTTGATACTTTTGATTAACCTCCACTCCTACATGTTAGAAAATTTTCGGGGTTAATTTCTATTTACACAAACAAATATGCACCAAAATCATGTCGACGGCACAAACCTTGACATCTTTGAAATGTGCACCCAAACTTGATAGTTTGACCTACAATCCGTGGAGCATCCACTTTCAAGAAGCTTCTCCACGTTTCAATATCCAGGATTACATTTCGACAATAATGTGCCAACCTGGTAAACGAGATATTAAGCCATTAAATGAAAACGATCTAATTATTAACAAAAAAAGATAATAAAACTCGAGTAGCAATCTCTCAACTTGTATAAGATATTGTACTTCATATAGCTGATCTTTTATATATAGCAAAAAAATGTTGGGATAACCAGCTATAATTTAATCGATCAGATTCATCGGAAGACGTTGATAAGTTGCTCTAGTATCCTTGGAGGCTTAGTATCGAAGATGATGTAGATATCGACGAGTTTGTTCGAAAATTATTTGAGTATCGAGGTAAAATCACTTTAATCAACACCGATATAGTAACATCAGACACCAGCATGAAGAACTAATTACTGAGCTTTTTATAATTTGCTGTGGTAGATTTTGTATGTCGACGATTATTCTACTGAAGGATCATGCAATCACACTTTATTCTGCTATAAAATCTATTCCTGTGTCTCAATAACTGTACCTAGAACTTTTTCCTACTTCGTTTAGCGCTTTAACTACCACAGGCAATACCTCTGCCATAAAGTATCTAATACAAAGAAAGACCTCGACTTTTTTAAAAGATAGAAATAAGTTTGTGAGAATTGTTTATCTGAGTGGACACTCCGGATGGCCCTCAATAGGCCACGGAAAATCCAGAAAAACTAGGGTATGATCCAAGAGACTAGGCTTTGATAAAGAGAAAAAGGATGAGACGCAAAAAGAATTTCTGCATATAAATGATCAGGAATGAACTGATAATTTTGGAGACTCCGAGTATGGCGTATGGATTACGGAAAACCATGCATTTTTCTCAAAAACTAATTTGAAAAACAATGATATTCTATTATAGAACTAAGCCAATAATCACATATTCCAAGATAAGTCATTTTTACTTAATTCCGATAAAGAACTCCATCAACATTTTTTCAGGCGAGTTTATTTCAGTCTCCGGCATCGGTTATGCACGATCTATAATCTTTAATTACGCTACTGACAAAAATAATAAGGTCGATGGAATGAAGAAATTTTGGTACGTTTTATATTGTACAAGAAATCTTATACCTACAGGCAAGGTTCTTTTGAAAGATTTCAACCTACGTTCATCAAACAGAAGATTTAGTGTCACCTCAAGTGACGGTGATATAATTTCCGTAAGTAGGCTCAAAGAAGAACTTTTTTCCTTCATTATTCAGCCTCCAGAAGTTTCCAGTGCTATGTTATCTAATGGTACCCAAACTTCTTAAATAGAAGTCACCCATCACTGTTTTGCTTCTGTAGGGCCTCAGATTCTTCAAGATATGCAAGTTTTTGAGTTCAAGCAATCCATTGTCACATCGAGAAGCCTATCAAAATTCCGCATTGATAAGTCATATTTACAGATATGCAATATCCGTAACTTGTGTAAACAGGTTGCAAAAAATTAATCGAGGGCCTGTTCCCAGATTCCATAAGATCCTTAGCTTGGTTAATTTCGAATATAGCGGTTCTGATACATAAAGCTTGGGCGTTTGTTTGTCGAAAGGTAAGTTTTTACCTTTGCCAAGCTAACTACTGTCTTAGTGTAGTTGACAAGCTGAACCGCAAGCTCACACGTTGCCATGCGCCTCGCAAGATTTGTAGACTGCACGATCTGATCTAACATATTCGATAGTATCGGCTCCCCTCCATTCCAACTTCCGATAACATTGATCAGTTATAGAGTGAGCATTGGTTATATGGATTTACGTCCATCGTCAGTGCACCCTCATAGTATGTATGTGTTGTAAAATCGGTATGAGTTCGATGAGTAAGGCAGCTCAAGGAATACGGGCGCGATTTACGAATAGAATAATATCAATATGAGTCGGAAGAAAACATAGTAATTTGTAGAAAGAGAAGTGCGATATAGAATAAATTGAATTGATTGACCTGTCTTGGCTGCTCCTAGACAGCTTATATACATGTATCTCAGCAATCTAAATCTAAACCAAGTATCAAGCTCGAGCCTAGTCCCATGCTCCAGCAATTACAATGAGAACAGGGTCGGTGAGTCAAACTATACCCGACGGGTATCACATCTCTCCATGTTCCAGTGAAGTCTCGTACACCAAATATGCTCAATGAAGTGACAGTTACTGACCCCAGTCGTGACTAAGGTGTGAGAACCTTTGTTGTTCCAATCCTAGGGAAACTTCAAACATCCAGGGTGTGAATTTCCAACAGTATGTTGTGATATCGGGTGGCACCTTGTTACTATTTTTCACTGGTTTCACTATTCACCACAGCACCATCTCCGCCAGCTTAGTCGTGGTGAGGCAGTCCTCCAGCTACAACACCACCATCACGGCGTATATCTTGCTGAGCTCCATGGCCACGATGTCCAGTATGGCGGTAGGCTCAGCGGGTTTATTTAATTTTCGCTTTGAGCGGTAACCTCCCATTGCCTGCATGTCTATTGTCCTCTGAAGTCTGTTGCCGTACATGGTAGCGATAGCCAGGGGTATAGGATGGTTGCTAGCTGTCAGATGAGATTGACAGTTCAGTAGTTTGCATCATATCGTCGTGCTTATCCATTTGCTGAGACACTGGCTGCAGAGTGTAACCTATAGTGATAGTCTGGAGCGGGGCAGTTTCGTAGTGTATATCAAATCCCTCCTCGCACCAGGTGGCTGCGTCGCACAAGTGGTATGCATCACCAGAGTGTTCTAGCAAGTGCAAGGCACTTATGCCAAAATCATTAGGCCAAGATAGCAGATAATCACCGTCCTTGCAGTTATGGGAAACTGCTATTAGCAGTTCATTTGCGTCAAAGACACAATTCTGCTTTACCAAGACATCCACAAGTCGGCAGTCTACAACGGCTCCCTTCTCTGTTACTCGCACCCTCCTGCCCTTATCGGCGACGGGGAATGGTGAATCGATGATATCCTGCGGACACCGGCACTTACCGAGGTGGCTGCTTCGAGGTCCCGGAATGCCCAACACACCCTCTCTCAAGCGCAGATCGGAGGCATACTTGCAAATCAGTTCATCTAGGGAGCAATCATATCTAGGTATCACATTAGTGCCTCCCGCCACTATAGCGCATATGCCAAACAGTTTGTCCTGTTGCTTCAGACACTCTCGTCCTCTCATCATATCAAGAAACTCCCCAAACCTTTTGAGATAAGGCTTGTGTGTATCACGCTGCCATCGGGTAACTCTCTCCGAGCTGACTGCCCCATCTGTGCCACTAGTGAATGTGACATCTCCGAGCAGGTCGCGAGTAATGTACGCATCCAGCTTTTTGTTATGTAAGATTTTGAGAATTTCTATTATCTCGAATGGACAAGTATCTCCTGTGGAATCACAGGCCAACAGGCTATTGCTAAGTAGACCTTCCTGTAATGTCCACACGCGGCGGAACCATGAATCGTTTGCTATTATAGCTGCTTGGTGAGTGAGGGCACGGCAATTGCTCTCATTGGGACTGGAGATTGCCCTCCTAAGAAGTGTCAAAACATCCGGAATTCTTATTGTTTTAATAAGCACAATAGTGTGTTTTGCCTGCATGTATATATTGCCCATCTGACCTATCTCTCGTGCTACATCTAGCGGATCATCCTGGTCGATGCACACTGCGTCCAACCAGAATACACTACGGCCACTATGCCGTTGATGGTAGTTGGCCAAAGTAGCCCGAATGTCATTACGTGAGTGTGCATCTCAAACATAGCTGACGGCCACGTATCCGTCAACTGAGTCTTTTGTTGGATCTAAATTATGGTCAACCAGCCTAGACGGTGTGTATTGGCTCACTAATTTGTTGTAGGTGCTAGCAAGCAACTCCTGGAAGCGGCTAATTACAGCTTCGCTGCTACCGTCCTCAGCGCGTTCCTTTGTCTGGTGGCTAACCTCGTGACGAGTAGAGGTTGCAGGTGCTAAATTCTTGCTCCAAGCCATGTGTAACTCTAGATCCTCTTGGTCCATGTGGAAAATGCGTTTGAGTATGGCGTTCTTGATTATTCTATATCCTTTATCTGGTAGAGCCTTTAAATACTTGTGGCTGACATCAAAAATTTCATTCACGCCTGCTGTACATTCGCTCGCTTGCTCCCATACGAGATTATCATTTACGAAATATGTCTTCATGTAGATAGCGGCTGAAGCGTGCGTAGTTGGCCCACGTAACACAAGATGCCAACTGAAACAGTCACTTATACTAGCTATTGCATCCATTCCTCATACTTGCATAGACTAGCCGCGGTAAGACAGAATCAATTCGTGATGACTGCTTCAAGATGAGAATCCAACTCAATGGCGGTTACTGCAGCTACCAGTTAGAAAGTTGTTTGTGCTATTGGCTGCATTTTTTAGGTGGATATGAGCACTACCCTTGCGTACGTACAGACTACATGTAGATTTTGTATGAATCTTCTGACAGTAAGTGGCTGCGTCAATAAGCACCGCTCCACTATCATGTACTACAAAGTAACAAATAGACAAATACGCCAATTATTGGCGTTCTAGAAGGTGGAAGTGTAATCAGTAACTGCCGCCAACACGTGTCATGTACAGTGACTTAAGATAAGCAACACACAGTGTCGACTGGCCATTTCGCAAAGCTGGCAGCAACTTGCAGGTGAACTTGTTCTGCAGTCTATCCTATAATATGTCATACTCTGCTGCCACTGGCTCAAATTTGCAGTGGAGTTGAGTAGGGCGCATTTTCGTATCAGGGCTAGTGCCCCTGATAGCGCCTAACACGACAGGGTACATAATTTATGTCCTGAATTTCAAGGCTCGGATAAAGGCACAAATTGATTTTATGTCACCGCCAGTTTTTTTCTTGCCAATCAACCTCACTCATTCCTAAATTATTTTCCACAATTTCTTCATTCATCTACCGTTGGGTGACGATAGAGCTCTTCTCATCGTGTCCTTGACTGAGAATAGTAATAAGACTTCTCAGAAACAATGTTGTTCATTCAGTACGCACATGGCTCAACAGTGCACTAGGATTCGAAACGTTAATCTTGAAACTGGGCTGTTTAAGGGACTAGCTCTGTGGGCACAATTGGGCTAGCTCGTAATAGGTTAGACTGTCTCTCCTCATTACCCCGCTCGCCATGAAGTGTGGTCCAATCGTAGTTCCAAACAACCAGTTATAGAAACACGTTTTCAACAACACTTCTGACTGCCTAACCAACACAGCCCTTGGAGGGCAAGACTGAACACCTGTACGCGGTGTCCTCTACGAACCTGAGATTGAAATATTCTCCCAGAGCCAAGTTCAGTCAAATTTCGCAATATCAAGTTGGCCCACGAGGCAAAATTTCAAATTACTCCACCATGTCAATCTTTCACTCCCAAAGAGTCCGATTCTCAAAAAAAGCTTCATGAGGTCTACAAGTACGACCTAGCATATCCTCGTCTCAATGACCACACCTCTCGTCGACTTTCTCTGGTTTCAGCCGGTCACCAAATACACGCCTACGCCGATATTTATACCCGACGGAGGAAGCAAAGCGTGGAGCACAAATCTGGGAGACAGCTCTTGGGGATGGACGTGAGAGGAATCAGGACAATTTTACAAGATGATGCAGAAGAGGGATACGTTTTCGACGGGCGTGAAATTTCGATTTTGGGCAAGAGTTTTACGAATTAAGCTTTGTGTGCGCCAAGACTTTGCTTGGGAGAGTGCAGCTGACACTATAAAAATAAGCCGACGATGGAAGGTGTTGTGATCCGCCTCCTGGTGATGTTCTCTGGTATAGTTTGAGTAGCCTGGGCACCTACTCCACTTGGGAAGGAGACGTCTCAGATAACATTTCGCGCGGAGAAAAGTTGAAAGATGACGGAGGCATGTCTGGATAACTCAGGGGGTTTGAGACGTTTCCCTGGGTGGGTATTCACGGATGAGGGTTGACTTGGGACAAAGAAGAAGCCGCCATAACTTCGCAGTGGTACTTGCAAATGAAATCCGAGGCATAAGGACTCTTTTTGTATATTAGGTCATCAATTATATACTTTTCTTCGATATTGTGTCATAGCTAGATAGCTGCATACGCAATTAAAATATGAGGCAAAAAAAATCCGAACACCCTTACGCTGTAAAGTATGACATTCAGCCCCTTAGCTCTGCTTAGACAATGGGAATATTTTCTTCTTGCGTAAATTCGTGATTTCTCTGTGGCTAGGAATGTGTGTGTGTTTATTGTGCTACTTGAGTCACAGAGTATCTAGCACACTGAGCTCACCTCTGATCCAGACCACACCTTGTACGGTGCTTCTTGCCTCTTTTGTTACGTGAAAGATCATTGATATATTGCACTTGATGAATAGCCATTCAGCTCAGTCTTTACCCGTGGAATTCGGACATCTTTTCCACGGAACCTTCTACACAAAAAAAAATAAAAATGCTAGCAATGGAAACTGCGTGCGCAGGAAAAAGTCTCAAAAAACCTCCAGCCCCAGCCAGGCGAGGCCTAGATACCGGGACCACATGAGGTGCGCATATTCATCTATATCATCGGATGGCATCTCTTCCATGATAATGGTGATAGGGGAATGTGTTGAGAGACGAAGACGATACAGACGATACAGGCCGCGAAAGCGATAGGGAATCCTCGTGGAAGTGAGGACTTTGTTACTCAATCACGGCTCTGCAGGCTCTACAGTGAGAGCTGGAGGTTTGTAGGGTTGAGACAAGAGATGACTGGCTCAAATCTAGCAAGGCCATACTACTTTTTCCGCGCTACCCGTTGTTACAATTTGTTGCAAATCTAGACTCAGCATGTACGAGGGCTTAGATTTCTAGGTATGATCATCAAGATCAATTGGGTTGATTCGATTGAATATGATTAAGCTCAGTTGGACGAAATAAGATTCAGTGGCATCTGGAATGCAGTGGCTAGGAAATGCTACCTTGCGATAATTGAGTGGCTGGTTGTTGCTAGATCACTGGGAGTTCGGGATCTGTATTTAAGGACAGACTCATCTGTATATGTAAAAATAAGTTGACGGAGTATTATATATTATTAATTCATATTGAGAAAAGAGTTCGATATATCATACAACTATCAATAAATTCTTGTCCGAAATTGTACACTTGTTCTTCGAGATATTTCCTCCTAGAAATCCTTGACAATTTCTAACACAATTACAAGATTGTGCGTAGGGATGTTACTGATTTACCCGAAGACGTTGGAGACAGAGAGGTGCTATTGTGTAGTGACTAGAATCTGATACGCGATTATTTGTGTTTTGATTCATTATTTGACGTCCTTTAGAGCGCTGAGCCGAGGCTCGGACCCGCAATGCCTACTAAACTATCTAGATGGATGGACGCCCGTGCTTACTGCCCCGGTGGCTTGGTTTCTGCAACTCCCTGACTCGGGATACCGCACTCTATGTCTCTAAAACTACGATGTCAAATGGTCGAGCCTACACACCACATGTAGCACACTTCATACATTTACCATCTATTACTTTTTCGGGCTTAGGCTTCCTGGGCCCTAGCTATTTCTACGTCTTTCTTTGCAATGAATACTAGCACGCGCTTCCAAATCCAGGCCAACCCTTATTATTATTGGTCTCCGTAGGTGGGATGCCTGGAGCAAGTTCTAGATAAGAACTTGGAAAGGGCTAACCACTTTGTCGCGTAGAGGGCTCACTCCCAGGTGCCTAACAAGAATTTTTCTGGATCGCTGTGAGATGAGGAGATCTGAGAGAGTCCTAGAGCTTAGATTGTATATTCTAGAAAGTGCGTGGCGGCCTTGGGTTGACCACATCTTCAGAATAGGTGATCATTTATGTGGTTAAACCGACGTTAGTATGCGGAGAAGTCCTGATGCTCAGAACGGGCAGCGTATAATCGCGAAAGGATAGATCTGTTGAAGGACAGCTCTTTGCGTTTACGTGTGTAGGTTTTGATGCCTTGGAGTTTATAAGACTGGGGAGCTAGTTGCCACTAGTAGTTATCCATTGCGTCATTTCAGTCTTTTTGATTCGATACCTGGCGGCATCTTCGATTTTAGATTTTTTTTTATTATAGTCCTAACTGAGTCAATGACTATAGAGGACTCCTAGAATCTACATATAAGATACTAGCTACATTTTTTTTTTTATATTCCAATTTTACAATTTTTAACTATGCTCTTATGGACAGTGAGGGTCGAGCCCTTGGCGGCATCTTAAGATAGCTGGGAAACATTAATTGAAGGAATTGAAAGCTCTCACAAGCTAAAGTATCTGCCATTGTATTGCCTAGACTCCCTGAGTGTCTCGGGATCTAGAACACTTGAACCTGCCCAGAAAGAAGATGTGGTAGACGGGGGCGTAGGGGCCACTTCCTGGTGACAGTTTCAATATAAGTAAAGTCATTCTGAGACGAGCTTGCTGGAGATTAGAGCTAACGGCGAGCTTCGCCTTGACTGTCTGTTGAAATCCAAAGACGTTTGGAGGGAGAGCGCGGCTTTTAACGCGCCATGTACGATAGCGACCCCTGTTTCGAAGGATGATAGTGATGGGCTCAGGGCACCATTTTCTCGGTATGCTGCCTGCCCAACTTGGTAAATAATAATGCCGTATCCTGCTCTGGGCGAATGATACGAGTAGCATTCAACTCAAATCGAATCAAACAATGTAAAAGGAATGCACATGACATGTGATTCAACGGCAAAAATTGAATGAACGGATCTCGGAAATGTACAAAGCTTCGCAATTTCGATTGCCTACTTCTCCCAGGAAGTTCTGTGCCTTGAGCTGCAATACAAAAGGTAAGCTTGAGACAGGCCAACAGCGATGACCAAACTGAGGCTCGAACTCAGGACCTTGTCCGTGTTAAGGACACGTGATAACCAACTACACCATCCGGCCATGCGCCTATAGCTGATAATTACATATATAATTTTCAAAATATTTATCACGTCTTACAAGAAGGACAATGAATACTATGATTGAATCATTCAGTTCGAGACAACATAAAATCTTGTTATTGAATGAAGTGAAGTGTCCCGTTGGAGATAATGATCTGGAAGAGTGACGTTGGCAACTCTTTTATCAAAATTCCGAGTCGCAGAGGGGGGACTATTCTCAACACCTGTCAGCGGTGTCCCCTACGAACCTCCAGCTCTCACTGTAGAGTATACAGAGCTGGAATTGAGTAACAAAGTCCTCGCTTCCACGAGGGTTCCCTATCGCTTTCGCGGTCTGTATCGCCTGTATCGTCTTCATCTCTCAACACATTCCCCTATCACCATTATCATGGAGGAGATGCCATCCGATGAGTTTCCGGAGCGTACCCAGCACCCGATACGGAGATGGTGGATTGGATCAAGTCGGCCTCGACTGCTACAAAGAAGGGAGATATAGATGAATATGCGCACCTCATGTGGTCCCGGTGTCTAGGCCTCGCTTGGCTGGGGCTGCAGGTTTTTTTGAGGCTTTTTCCCGCAAACTTAGTTTCCATTGCTACCGTTTTATTTTTTTGGGTAGAAGGTTACGTGGAAAAGGTGGCTGAATTCCACGGGTAAATACTGAGCTGAATGGCTATTCATCAAGGGCAGTATATCAATGATCTTTCAAGTAACAAAAGAGGCAAGAAGCACTGTACAAGGTGTGGCCTGGGTCAGATAGGAGCCCGTTGTGCTAGATAGTCATAGACTCAAGTAATACAATAAAAACATCACACTCACATCATCTCGCGCGTGTAGTGCCATACACTGCTTACTCGCCCACCTCCTGACACTCAACAATATATGCCAGAGTTTATTTAACAAAATTACCTCCCACGTTGATTCCTAAAACCAACTGTATTCTTCCGAAAGATCTAAAATAAAACAACAAGTCTCCAGCCTCAGGATCAACCAGCAAAAAACTTTGTAATTCATACAGGAAATTAACCCACAAACTAAGTAGTCTTTCATAGTTCAGGACTCAGTAGAGACTTACATCTTTATTAATCTTACAGTCTCCAGGCTCAAGTGGGACCAGTGCCCAAGCTGTGGCAATAGGCCGGGAGAGAACAGGCCGGACGACATACCGCTGCACTGTCTGACCATGTCCTGGCACGCGTCGCAGAACGACGATCACACTGGTGGCTAGGATTGACTAAGCTGTTGAATGCTTGTCCCTGTCCACCCGACATGCTCATAGAGCTCAGATCCTGCAAGAAAGCGGGCCCCATCGTTTGAAGGCTGCAAGTTGCAATAGTGATGTCAGCTAGTGGATTATATAGTTCTAACTGATCACCGAGTCGTGACCCCTTGCCGATCCACATTTCCTTTGTAGGCTTGACTCACTGCACCTCGACCCGCAAAATACGAGAGGCTCATAAAAAATGTCATTCGAAACTATCAGGCTAAACGCTGCAATAAAATCGTCTATTTAGGCTCTAGTCGCCGATTCGGCCTGGCTTGCACTCCCATATTTTGCCTGCCACGCAAAAAAATAGAGCAGCAGAGCGAGTGGTTGTCCAATCAGTGTAAACGTAACCCAAAAAATACAATTACCAACTATCTTCCCATTGACGCCATTCATAGTCTCTAGGGGTGCCGTAAGGGCAATCAGTGGAATCTGAATCATCATGCCAAAGAATGCTACCCCTGCTTCGGTCAGCTCGTCAAACTAGGAGGGCGCAGGATGCGCGTGATGCGGAGAATTACCAATAATGTTATGCGTCGGAATTCCTACCAGTAGTTCGTGCAGCAGCGCCGAAAATGTAAACACAGCTATACTCGCCTTCAAAGATCCCCAGCCCCTTGCAAGAAGAGGGGAAAATACATGTCGTTTCATAAATTGATACACTGGTTTGTTCCAAGTGCGCCAATAGATACCAAGTGAAGGACTATTCCACCAGTCCGTATAAAATTCCCGATCGCCAAACCTCATCACTTCAGCTAGGGCATTGAGAAATGATTGAAAAAACGCGAAAAATCCGGCCAGCCATATCGCTAAGCTAATTGTAGAAAGCTTCATCAGGCGTTCCAAAATAGATGGAATGTCTAACGTCACAATCTTGTCAAGAGAGTTCCGTAAGACGGGCGCGGCATATTGCGCAGATGCTATCCACATGAAAGCGCCCAAAAAAATTATTTCAGCTACGCGTTTGACCACAAATATCCATCGAATCGTGGGGGTCCGAGGATAGACAGGTTGGTATACAAGAGTGGGTGCCCACCAAAAGTATATCAGATTGCCGAGGGTTATGTTGTTTGGATAGGGACATTTATCGTAGATTTGTGGGAGGGCATCCTCTTCCCGCCTTGAGGGATGTAGATATGCGTGGCGAAGATCACGATTTGTTAGTCCGTATGAGGCTGTCTTCAGCCAAACAATGATAGCATGAATTTCGCTAAGGGTTCCAATAAGAGGATGGTGAATGAAATAATAAACCACAAAAGATGTCATAAAAAGACACACCGAAGCATTAATGCCATGGATCCAGGCAATAACCCGCCAAGTCTGTTGAAATGCACGCTTTTCTTTGTCGGAAGCGATATAACTCCCACCAGGTGTCGCGGTCCCTTCTCGGTCTTTACCCTGCCGCAACATGGCCCTTGCCTGATATGCAGCATTCAACTCCACAACATAGGCGAGGAAAAGGTGACATGGGATGATGAATAGTAGCGCGACGCCATAGATAATATCCTGTGTTTGGTAGTTGTGACATTGTAGACATATCAAAACACCGTACTTTAGAGCAGAGTTAGTCCTTCATTTATGCACTGGAAGAGCTGAAGCGCTCGAACCTTTGTATAATTCTCAATGACCAATCGGAGATTTCCGGCGACTTTTTGCCCTATGTCAGCAGTTGTGATGGCTAATACGTACACTTACTGAGAACTATCACCATCAGATTCCTGAAACCCAAAAAACTCGGTGAAACCTGGGAGTCATGGCTTAAGTATGAAGTTCGAGGGATTGAGTGTGCAGCCTCGACGTGACAATATTTTTTTTTCGTACGGATTCGGGATAGAGGTTGAAGCTTTGCCGTTGCATTGAGAAATGGATGAACAGGTGGTGCTTTGGGAAAGATAGCTGTATGCCGTTCTTGTAGAAGGCTTGATCCATTCTCATGGGTTACGCTTCGACAAGTTGTGACAGAAGTGGCAACATCAATAACGGCCATTATATTAAAGGTATAAAGTTGATATAAAGGGATTAGTGTAAAGAATTATTAGATCGAGCGAATGGAAGTAGAGATGACTCAATGATGCTACCCTGACTATGTGCAAAGAGCTGGGCACGAGAGAGATGCGAGGAGAGGGAGTTGGATGAGCATATTTTCCCGAAAAGCAGAGGGAATGGATTACGAAATGGAGTGTGGGGGACAAGCTGATAGGAGCGTGGGTGGCAGCGGGAAGAATAATCATCCACTCCCGGCTGCCTCACGAGGCAAAGCCAATGGGCAACGTTTACAGCTTTAGGAAAGGCAACTTGTCGCGAGTCAAGTAATTAGGAAGGTGCATGGATTTGAGATGGGGTGGGGAGATCACTGATAGGGTAACAACGTAGTGAATAACAAGCAAGGCCAGGCTGTCGATATATATTTCGCTCTCTATCAATCGCGCGAGATGCAGAAGAAGGGCTATGGTATGGAGGGACACCAGTGGATGAATGAGGACAAGTACTGATATCTGAATATTTTTTTTACTTTCACATAATCAACGGAACACATGGACGTTTGTTGCTAGTTTACGTCGATCAGTCGTTTTAAATCAAACCTTAAACCATGGTCGCACAGACAGATGCCCCACACATTTGAGTGGTGGTATGTCTTAGATGAATTAATGATGGATAATAACAGAGTTCACCTGCTTTGGATTTTTTTAAAGATATTAAAATTGTATTCAGCTATCTCGCTATGACAAATGATCAATGCTGTATGTACATGTTGAATGACTATATTGACTTGGGGAAACTCCCACTATGGATTCAATTTGCAAACACCGCTAAGAAGTATATCTACTTTCCTCCGTGACCACCCAATAAAGGGAAACTTTAAACCTACAGTTATCCACGGAGACTAGGACCACTACAGATTCGCTTCAGCCTTGCTGGACTCGAACCAGCGATATTCTGTCTCAAGTGGGATATATGTTCAAGTAATCCCCACTCTACTCATGAAACTAGACAAGAGGATATACCACTGCACCATCCAGCCATCCCAGTATTTTATGTGTCAGCTGCATTCTCGCAGATTAAGATTTGTCGTGCACAATGCTCTGCGATCCGTAAAATTACTGGCTAAATTTCAAAAATTCACCCATTTCGAGGTTTTTTCGTCATGGAAGACATGGCCGACTCGATGTCATTTTGCGAGCTTAGCAAAGATAGATTATCTCCAGGTTTCGAATGGTGCACCATCATCGAGCATGATAACTTTGAACGAATGTGACATGATGGACAGCGATTATCATGTAAACTCCGGGCTGTTTGACGGTTTGTTTGCGCTGGGAAGAGCCGAGCTCATAACCTTTTATAGTTGTGAGCTATGCGGAAGTCACATTGCGGAGTGATGAGGAGTGGATGATGTTACATTTAGTGGTTGACAGCGAGTAGACTCATACATTGTTATGCTGTAGGTATATGGATAGAAAGAATAAGACTAAAGCTGTGTCCATTTATTGTGGGTACATCTATGAAAGTATAAAGAGGCTCGCCTCACCAGTGCACTAGTGATGAATGCTGTGGCCTCTGATGCAAAAAAAAAAAAAAAAAGAATGCTGTGGCCTTGAGCCACACGCGATGCCCTAGTCTCGACTACCTCGTTGTCTCATATTAAAACGGCATCAACTTGAAAATTTGTCCTTATTTCTCCCACGTCAATCTCAAAAATCTGGCTTTTTGATTTATACACCACGACTTGTGTCCTCCTGCGGGTCTTCGTAAACACGTAGAATAGTAATAAGAGGCCAGCTGGAGCCAGAGACTGAGATTACAAGAGGTGTGGCAATTAAAGTAAGGATGTACTAGGCTGTTCTTTTGGACTTGATAAGGTTTGGTCGGGAGAGTTCTTGTTAGGAGTTAAAGCTAGTATGATTGGGAGTCTTGGATCATTGCCTCATGAAACAATATGTTTGGTTTTACAAAATTTGATTGAATTTAACTCTGAGAGCATATCTTATTCCCAGGTTCGTAGAGAACACCGCGTACAGGTGTTCGGTCTTTGTTTTCCTGTGTTTTGTTTTGATAATACGTGTGATGGGCGATCAACAAAACAATATAGTAAAGGAATGGTGGCCGATTACTGTCTATTTTCTACATACATCTCGGAACTGTCCACCGAGGGGATGCTACTTAAGGTGTCCCAACTCCCAATGCGCTAACCTCACTATCTATTCTACTACATCATATCCTTGATATTCCGAGTGGGCTCGTCATAGCGAATCTGGGTCGTATCGGCCCATGATTCCATATGAGACTTGCTGCAACAATATCTTGTTTCCATATTTGTTGCAACCCTGTATTTGTATGGCCAAGTTGGACATCTCTCTAGATAGCAAGGCTAATGACGTAATAATGATAAGTGTCCGTGCGACAGTCACTAGGAGATAGGCGCAGCCTGTAACAATACGTCTCGCCAGTGCGTTAGCCTTCACCACCCCGGTAATTTCAAAAACACTTTCAGCGACGCACCTGAGATATCAAGAGATCAAAATCACGCAGCGTTGCTAGAAATTTCGGCATACAAAATTAATATATGTTCTTCGAGGAAGTCCTATATTATGAAAATGCTGAAATCTGGAGAGCAAGTAGATGTGGAATTGATGAAGGCACCCGCTGGCTGAGCCTGAGGATGCAGAGCAGGTGAACTATCAAACAAGGGTATCTTGGCGGTTGGACTTGGCATAATTCAACGTTCGGGTGGAATCTAGAGCGGTCTGCTTCTTCAGGTGGGACTGGGCTGATGCATTTGAAACTAGTTAGACTGATTTCACTCAGCCATGCTCATATCAAGTTCTCCTAGAGCACAGAGACCCGTACCCCTTTAACCCATCGGCTTAAAAGAAAACCCAAAAAAAGAAGTGCAACGTCTGGAAAACGATCAGCAAGATCTTCTGCGGAATTTGACAAGGAATAAAAACTGTTAAAATTTCTATCTAGATATCGACCCGTACGAACATACCGTATAGTAGTAACTCATATTAATACTCAGGATTGCGATGGATAGCAGAGATTGATGGTGTTTATGGCAGTGCGGGGCTTAGTAATTGTTGACAGGGGCAGGACACGTGTACATATATATTGCGCACTTGACTCCTATTTAATATGAAGATGCTTCCGACTACATTCACAATGCCCATACCTACTCTGAGCTAATCACCCCTTACTATATCAGTCCTATCCTCTAATTAATGCCTTTCCGCCCTTTTATCTTAAATGATATGTCATAATATTCTTCGTCTTGCTGACCATCATCAAGCTCAGAGTTATGGACAGATTAAATCTTTAACATACACTGATAGACAAGGTATAGTCACGCGATGCAGCTCACTAGATATCCTTCCTGTTACTTCTCCCGACAAGGTCAACCTCTGCAGATAAATGAATAATTCAATATTCATGATTTGGCGCCTTGATGCACTTGCAGGTTTTATCGGAAGATATGTACTTTGAGTAGTATGACTCAATTTGAAGTTTAGAACACTCACACTCCGATTTCATTTGCAGATACCACTCGAGGTTAACCCTTACGGCGTACAACCTCTTCCGTGCATACCCACCACAGGGAAAAGCGTGAAAAATCTGTGGCTATCCGAGTGTGCTTTCATCATCCAACAAATACAATATCATCGTGAGAGAGAGTGGTGATTGAGTTTTATAGGACTCGAACCAGCTTTCTCCTGTCTCAAATGGGGTAGGTGTTGAAGCTACCCAGATTCTACTTGGGATAACGGCCCGTTTCGGATGAGCCCTCGGTGGGCGACCGGAGACCTCTGCAGATAATTAACGACCATCTAACTAGCCCAATCTTACAAGACTAAACACCTTACTACGCCCAATTTGATGATAAGCTTCTCTTCACTTAAGTGTCAAGGTTTCTATAAATATCTTACAAGAGATGACGGTCGTGGAACGTAAACCTGATGAAGGTCATTCGATGTTTATGGAGACACAATTCTACGGGTAGATGAAATTATAGCAGAAAATATGTATCAAAATTCTGGAATGATAAATGTAAACGGGACTAGGCATCAACAGTTTCACTAAGCACTACACAAGGGCTTGCTTTCGATATTGCGATGCCGTAAGTGCGCAATAAAAAATTATTTTCCAAACCTCTATTCACGTTCGAGATAATTATCTGAAGCCAAGCATGAAAGACCTTGACCTTTACAATCCTTGCTCAATTATAATTTAAAGGGCTTGTCACTTGCTCGGAAAATCTACACCACTAATGTAATAAAAAACCCTACGACTAGCCCAATAACAAGTTTGGAGGACGAAGGCTGAACACCTGTCAGTGGTGTCCTCTACGAACCTCGGAGTGAAATATTCTCCCAGAGCCGAGATTCAGTCAAGATAAAGGGTGGATTTGAGAGTTTTCTTCGAGTTGGCGATCGGGAGGAGTGGTGTTGGCTCATTTTTGGTCGAAAATCCGACTTGCAGAGATTTCACGACTGCACAACTGAACGAAATCAACCATCTAAACCCCAGATACGAATCGCAGACAAGCTATCACCTGTCTGATGTTCGTATTACAACAACCGACACCTTCATGATCTTATTTTCTATTTCTCTGGAAAATCATTCCCAGCCAAGCTCATCTCATTACCCACCAAAGAAATCCCATACCTCCAAAAGTCAAATCGCCAACAAAGAAGTAAAAGGATTTCCGACCCTCCACAACTGCCAGTCAATGTGAAGGTACGGTCGAAATACCGGCCTTAAATGTGTCCTCGCCTCGACCAAGAGCACCAACAACTCGACCTGCGACGAATCGCCACCGACGAAATACGTACGAAATTTCGCCGGCACGCCAACCAGAGCATTCGACAAAGGCTTGGGCACCGGTGCCTCGGTCTTGAGCTCTCAGTCGCGTTTCCACCTCCACGGTTAGGGGTATGGCAGCGACGGGGCAAGGCCGGAGGGGTGGACATTCCACAAAGTTTCTAGGATGACGAGACTGGCTAAATGACAAAGAGATGCTGTATGGGGTAGGAAATTGAGGGAATATAAAATGCGGAGGCCTTGGTGGTCGACTGGATGAGGCCTTCAGTGAAGAAAACGACCCCTGGATGAGATGAGTAGATGCTGGGACTGAATGAGAGGGAAAAGTTAGAGATCGCGAAGGTGGCAAGGGCTCGGGCGCGTGGTGGCCGAGGCTGAGGAGGAATTTGCGCTTCGGCACGCCAAAAGAGGGTTCTCTGGACGGTCCGGCTTGACATGATTCAACACATGGGTGAAGTCTGAGGTGGTCCGGTCATTTAGGTGGGACGAGGTAGATGTACTTAATGGTAGTTAATCTGATCCAGCCCAGCCCCATCCGTACTTAAGCTCCAGTAGGAATGCAACGGTAGTCACTTTACCTAGCACGTTAATTAACAAACCAAACCAAACCAAGTGAAGCTGTTTGAGCCCAATCCTGACGAGACAGGCTTTACTCCGGCGATTAATGAAAAGGAATCATCTGACATAGAATATCGGTTTAATTTCATAGACCTATACTCGAAGTCCATGTACCTGAAGATACTGTTAGAAATAGATGAGAATTAATATCTATTACAATAACTTCAAAATATGCCTTCGTCTATGGCTACGCAGAAAAGTGCTAGTATCTTCTGGAAGATTTGTTTTTAGCTTTTTAAGTTTAGTTTTGGCCATACTACGTCTAAAAAGTATCAGATAGATGCTTAGGCGATATATCACCTCATGCAATGGCAAATCTCACTCTTATCGTTCTGAACCACCGAGACTTAAGAAAATTTATACTGTGAATCTACTTTACTTTATCAGGTCGAATCTAATGTTACGACTCTAAAATTTACAAACGCCTTGCTTTTTATTCAAGCCATGATAATTGCAGACAAATAAGCAGATCTATGTTTAAAAGATATGGCTGTATATAAAATTGGAACCATGATGGCGATTGCGGTAATGAAAATACTTTGAATGATGACATGGAGCCCTGGTCTGTAATTTTTAAATTATTAGAATTAAATCTAGCTTAATAAATATACTTCTGTCATAAGATTTGGGGAGTCAAATGAGATTAATCCAGATTGAATACTTTCCGAGATTTAGACCATAGGAGCTAATAAATTAGTCTAAGACAAGCTTTTTCAGAGCCAGGAACTAGAATTTGTGCCTATTCGATCATTACAAACAAAAACTTGGCGTATCATCCGATTTTTTTGAGATTCTAGTTAGCTAGCAAAGTTAGGAATTTCTAACCTCAAAAGATTTATAAGCCCCTAGCGTAGAATTCATAAATAGACATGCACGGAAATGGGAAATCACCATGGTATTCGAGCGGACAGGTAAGATAGTGAAGTGCATGTAAGAGATCAATGATATAACCTCGGAATATTGATTCAAAGTCGTATATCGAGGTAAATTATATTGAGGTGACGAGAATTAAACCTCGGGATGCCATGATCAACAACATACGGTATGTTTGTTATGACTAAGTTGTATAAACACAGTTCTCTAGCTTACGAGTAGATCAGCCCTTGACCTATTTGGCTCCTGGAATACCAATGAACGTTTGTTTGGTGTAGTCAACGTACTCGTCTCCGAAAAACTTAACCAGCAGAATCTCCTCGCCCTTAATTCGGGCCTTGAAGAACCAAGCTAGAGCAACAGCATAGCCCACTAAAGAGATCAAATTCCCACAAACTAATTGCGTGCCGATGCCCCACCAAAAAAAGCCAAAATAACTTGGGTGTCGCAATATGCTGTAAATACCGTGGCGGATCAGAATATGATCTGTCTGTTTGTGATGAGCCACTAAATGAGAAAAGGAGGGACCCGCCGTCAGAATAGCAGCAGCGCGCACACCCTGTCCGAGAAAGATGAGGACGAGTCCAAAGCCGAGCAGGAGGGTGTGGGCCCACGGCGGGAGGATTGCGTGGGGATAGAGCACATGGCTGATTATTGTCTCGAGTAGAGCGCAGGAGTGAGCGATGTTGTAGGCAGAGCCATTGCTAGTCAGGAGAAAAGAAGAGACGCCGGCAGCTGATGGGTTGGCGTGTGCCGTTGTCCAAAACTCGAGGAAGTGAAAGAGGCAAAGAGCGAAGAGGAAAAAGGGCGCACGCCAGATGGGCATGGCGAGATAGATTAGGCCAGCGGCAACGCCGGCGCAGAGCGATAGTAAGAGCCCAAGGATGAAGGAGCGCAGGGCGATTCCCGCGAGAGACCTAGGCTTGTCGGACTGAAATTGAGCGGCATACAAGTCGACGGCATGGACTATATCTGCTGGCGTCGTACGCATCGTGGAATCCGGGACGACCTCGGAACTATTGCCCAAACCGCCACCAGCAATCAATCTAGCGGCCTCTTGAAGACGAGACGGACGTTGACTGTTGGTGTGCGACATGATCCCACCGCTGCTCCTGCCTAGGCTGGTTCGTTCCGCCATGTCGAATGTCGGAACGAGGACACCGTCACCTCAAAAACTTGTCGCCCGAGCACGCGAGAAACGAGCGGCGATTTGTGCGGCATAATAGGCACGTGATGGGATGGTGACAAATGGTTGCGAGTCACGTGTAATTGATTGTCATGAAGCTGCTCTAAGACGCCGGGTCTGGCACTCCTAGATACTGAACCGTCGACAAAGCCAAGCGGGTGGATGTACGGTCAAATCAATACGTTTTTTTGGTTGAAAATGTAAGATTCCTGACACACGGTAAGCCATCTAACTTGAACGCAAGGTCTACTTCATGAAGGATAAAGGTTTTCTGAGATCGATGCAGGAGAAGGATCAGGCCATATCAGCTAATCTATTCAGATACTAAAGGAGATGTCTCAACCTATTGCAGTTTAGGCGCTCAGCTACTTGATAGAATCCAGTAAAAATATTGAAATAATTCCCAAGAAACACGAGGTGATGTTCCAAATCCCTCACGTTGCTAAGGCCTAGCTGTATTCCTCGGCAGCGAGCGAAGCGAGTGAGGAATGTCTATAATTCTTCAAACCAATAGCCCATCTTGTGATGATTTCATGCCATCACGGCCAGGAGTGGGAATAATTTGGCCCCAGGCTAGAAGGGGTAAAACAATGTTGGTGGTTATTTGTTGAGAAATTTGGGTATATTCAGAAGTTTGACGCAGTGGATTACCAACAAGATAATTCCCCACATCTAATTGTCAACTTGGTCTGGATATTTACTGCTTGTTTCAGCCGGATAAATCTGATTTCTCCGCTTCCCAACACGACACTACGAAACCTCCACTTCTCATTCTGTAAAGATTCCAATAGCTTCACAAGTGATCTATGGAAGATTTATGATGTATCACTGAAACCTCCAATACTGTCATCGTTTACTGAAACTTCAAGTGAGAATTGGGTCTCAGTCGTCTAAAAATTAGGCTTGAATTAGAATGGGTGAGTTGAGGGTGTACTTTTATTTTTTAAATGAGTGAATGACTCAGACAGAATAATTGTGCTTTGCATGCTATACTATACCAAAGCACGCCAGTACATCTAACGTACTCTTTCCCGAACCTGATATCGGATGACCCAGCGTGAATTCAACGATTTTGGTTGAAATTTATTTACTAGGCTTCCGGAAAAGTAGACGATATCAATTTTAGGGAAATTTTGTGAAATTGCTATTGCAACTGAGGAACGAGTCGAATGGACATATGGCATTTCATTTTTGAATCTCGGAAACTCAGTCTTTCATGGTAGAATCCCTATTTGTATGAATAAGTCATAGAACATCCTATATTCCAGGAGAAGCTTATGTCACGCTGTTACCCGGGACTGAGACCTATTTTTGTATAAACACCACGAAAAATCAAATTCTTTTGACTTGGCCTGGAATGAACTACGCAATGTGGCCGGTATATAAGAGTATTAGGACCATGCAATTTGCTGTTCTACTACGAAACAATTGCGCGAGTCTTAGTTTGGACACCTGCACAATCGCCTAGTCATCTGAACCGCTACCGTAGATCCTATCTACCCTATTCATCGACATTTAAATACTCCAAGAATATGCTGGATCAATTGAAAATATCAATGGAGTTCTCGAAGCAAACTAAACCTCCTCTTTAGATACTTGTCCGAGTAATCTTGTTATGCTCAGCTATGTAGTATGGTAGATGTAGTAGCTGGTGTACAGGTAGTTATTCTAGAAATATGGCGCATGGAAGAGATCCCGTCTCTACACAACGAAATTAAAAGTAATAATGTGTGTACTATTATTATTGGGTTGTTGATATAGGATAAATGGCATAGATGCTCAGCTGAAAAGACACTTTGGTGAGCTGCGCACTGGTTACGTGATCGGTCTACAAGTGAACTAGCCATGGAATAAGGGATGAGCTTCTCCCAACCTATAATTAAGCAATTATCATGGTTAACTCACTTCTATATATCACTCAATATCTCTTTCCACGAACCATCTCTGCTGTTCCAGCGTAAGTGTACTTCCCCCTATCATATACCAAGTAAAACAAAACTATCTAAAAGAGATGGATGGAGGTTAGATTTTTACTCGCTATTACAATTTGTAACCCATACTTCCAACAAAAATGTCCGTCCTAAGGTATTAAGCTTGTGGTGATGTCCTGTCTTAAATGGGCTGAGGGAGGAGTTGAAATGCTACAAAAATTGACAAATCAATCCTTCCCTATCTTAATAAACAACGCCAAAGATACTACTAGATTAATGTAGTCGATTGAAAAGCAGAAACGGCAGGAGCAGCTTTGGCTAGCTGGAAGGGATGAGGCTCTAATCAGGTGAAGGAGAAATAAGGATAAGACAGAGATAGAGTCTATACAGGCAGTAAAAGTACAAACTCACTTCCTATAGGTGAATTTACAATGACTTAGAATTAAAACAAAAGGCTACCGGGCTTTTACTGCAAGCTTCCTTCCCATGTAAGCATTAAGATTTATAGAAATCTGCACGAGATCATGGGGCGTCAACTTAGGGTAATGAAGTCAAATTACGATACTAAATTACCGGATTAAGTAACTTTTCCATGAGCTAGTAGTGCTTCAGTTCTTTAGAGTCAATATCAGTGACCTAGCTACCACCTGAGAATAAGTGACTGACCTCTCTTCCTATGTCATGGTAACATGGCAGAGGAAAAGCAACAGCTGGTTTATCTTCTCCATGTAACACAGTACGCAAATTGTCAACCATTATAATATCTACTTTCAAGGCCCAGGTTAACAGATCACACACACCTTAGGGCGGACGAAAGTCAACATCTATCAGCGGCACCCCGGCGAACTTCCAGCTTTCACTGTAGAGTTTGCAGAGCCATGATTGAGCTACACCATCGTTCCCTCTTTGAAGATTTCCCATTGCTTTCGCCGTCTATATCGTCTTCATCTCTCGGCACAACCTCCCAGCACCGGTATCATGAAGCCAACCACGATTAGGTCAGATGTTAGGCTCTAAGCCCTTCTAACAGCCCACCCTTGGTCACGGGGGAAGAGCTATCCGATGAGTTTCCGGGGCGTACCCAGCAAGTAATACGCCAGTGGTGGATTGGATCAAGTCGGACCCTAATTTTATAAAGAAGGGAGATATAGGTGAATATACGTACCTAGGTGGCTAAGGCAACAAGCTTTATGAGGATTTCTCCCACGTACGCAGTCTCCGTCGCTACCATTTTTATGTGGAAAATTTCGTTGTAAAAGTGGCTGATTTCCACGGGTAAATCCTGTGCTGCTTGGATATTCATCAAGGCCAATATACTATGAATATTTATTCGTCGGAAAAGAGGATAGAAGCACTGTAAAGGATGTATCCTGGGTCAGCAAAGAGCCCAACATACTATACATTCCACAACTCGAGTAGGACACTCACCACACACACATATATCTTGGGTTGTAACATATTTTACATCTTGAAATCTAGGCTCTATATGATCTCAGCTCACGACGGTGACATACTCACTATCCGTGGCCATATGCCATGTCTACCTTATACAAGCACAGCAATTTGGCTTCAAGCCACGGGACATATCACTCCTTAAATGATTGGGCAGACTTCTATTAAAACTTTAGGTGTAGCTACACAGAGGACAGAGATATTTTCTTCGACTTTTTATTCATATTCCAACTGCATGGAGCTGTCTAGGTATTTACACTATTATCCGCACATCTCTCGCCGGCAATATACTTTTCACATCGCCCTTGACCATAACATGAGGACGTTCAGGGATACCTGAAAATGAGATTGCAAACGCTATTGAAAGATCTGAATGTGTCGTCGGGTCATTTGGTATCAGAAACTGACAGATCTAGTCAAGAATAAATTCAGTTATTCAATAGAATCTTGGAACGGGAGGTTTCTTGATTCTCGCTGTAGATATAGAGAATCGTCGTTACCGACACAGATCATAATTATCCATGTCGCTGAGCAACCGTACCTAAATTGCAACATTGGTAGCACTTATAACTGGCTAGTCCCTAGATTACATCCCTGGAATAAAAGCGCAGTCAGTAAAAACTCAATGAATTTACCCCAGGGTAAAATGTTTTGTTGAAAAGATGGCTGGATTGTACGAGTAAATTTTGAGTTAAATGGCTACGAATCATGAGCATTTTATCAGGGATCTTTCATGTAACAGATTATATATTGAGTACAGAATGGCTCAGAAGTTGCATTAGATTAGCCTATTATAAGTTATTGTTGTCAAGTCTATCATCTGTCTTGACACATCGTAGGGGGACTATTCTCAACACCTGTCAGTGGTGTCCCCTACGAACCTCCAGCTCTCACTCAAGAGTCTGCAGAGCCGAGATTGAGTAACAAAGTCCTAACTTCGACGAGGATTCCCAATCGCTTTCGCGGTCTGTATCGTCTTCATCTCTCAACATATCCCCCAATCACCATTATCGTGAAGCTAGCCAGAATCAGATATTGTTAGACTCTACGAATCAATTGAATAATGTAAGAAGTAAAATGTAAAAAGTGTCAATTAATTACTGGCTGCCCTTTCTCTTTCTAATACCATCTAGATTATGTACGTCCAGAAAATGGCAAATGCTCTATCTGTCCCCAACTTGTCCCCATGAACCGAGTTTCTCATGGTTTAGAACGAAACATCTCTGGTGAGAAGATATAGAGTTCCCATTGCTACAAACCAAGCGAAACACCTTTTTCCGAAACAAGTAACTCCAAGCTTTGTAAACCTAACACCTTAAACTCTATATTGATCGCTTCCAAACTATCCATGGTTTGATATCTCTTTTTGCATCAGATTTTAAATGCGTATGCAGCTATCGAGCTATGACACAATATCGAAGAAAAGTATATAATTGATGACCTAATATACAAAAAGAGTCCTTATGCCTCGGATTTCATTTGCAAGTACCACTGCGAAGTTATGGCGGCTTCTTCTTTGTCCCAAGTCAACCCTCATCCGTGAATACCCACCCAGGGAAACGTCTCAAA